CAGACAAAAGTTCATTTTCTCCATCAAGACATTCATTTCTGTAGTTCATTGCTACCAGCAAGCAGAATTTTTCCTTCTCCTGATGATGGCCATTTTGGCCGAAACTAAACGAGGAATCTAAATGAAATAATAATAAAAAAAAAAACGAAAGAATATTAATCTACAACCCAGTGTGTCTAAAGATTTTAATTTTTTAATATTTTTTTATTGTTTAAAATATATATATATATATATATATATATATATATATATATATATATATATATCCAAATATAAAAGGACAAAGAGTAAGATTTAGGCGTTCAAAACCTTAATTTAAAACAGAGATGAATACAAAATTAGAGCAACAAATATTTATTTCTCATGCAGTATTAAAATAGAGCGTGCACATACCCACCCACCTGATAAAACGTTAACAAAACAAACAAATAAAAATATTTTTAACGTTGAAACAAGATGTATAGTGGGTATGTGCATACTCTAATGTATCACTGCATAATATATATATATATATATATAATTGATATCTTATGAATTGGCCTGCGTATTAAGAGAGCATCGTTTCATTCTTCTATATATCTTCTGAGAAACATACATACATATATATGTGATGTGAAAAGTATGGGATAGATAATAAATTCTTTTTCCTTTTCTTCTTCTTCCCTTTATACTTCCACTTCCTCTTTTAAACGTCACATCCTGTTTTTCTTCTTCTTCCTTTTCTTCATGTGCTATAGACACACACACACACACACACACACACACACACACACACACACACATATATATATATATATATATATATATATATATATAGGTGTTGACATATGCGTCCAATTTCATATCTATATACAATCCACCGCTGAAATGGAGCACTTTTACCCATGAATATTCCATTTCATATATATATATATATATATATATATATATATATATATATATATATATGCGCATCCACTGCCGAGAATTGAAACCCAAGCAGTTACGATAGGAGCCAAAACCAACTGTACCAACGGTTCTCGGTGACGAAGAGGTAACGAATCAGACCCCGACATAGCGCCGCTCGATCACATATTCCGTGGTGGAACTCATCCGAGTTTCTTTTACCCACAGGACTGTGACCCCCACGAGCCACGACTACTATCCCCAAGCCGCTCAATCCAGAGCATTAGAAGCCGGTTCAAGCAAGGATATACAGAAAGAAAAAATTAGGAGGATTTTAAATATGAGTCTGATGATGAGTCCTAAAATATATATATATATATATATATATATATATATATATATATATATAAAGAAATATAGTCTTAAGACGTGCTATATTGATGTGCTCAATATCAGAGAGCACGTGTAAATGTAAAAAGTGAATAGAAGTCAACACTTAGAGGCGACAGTCTGTTTCATGCTAGATGCAACGGACTAGCATGAAACAGCCTGTCACCTCTAAGTGTTGATTTCTATGTTCACTTTTTATATATATATATATATATATATATATATATATATATATATATAAACGGACAGAATATATCTCAGAGTGTTGGTATTAAGAAAACAGTGACTGGTGTAATAATACAGACCTATTAAGCGTATATTAATGAATATGCATATTATCCTTTGCCGGTAGCACGACTCAGATTTTTATGCACGATGCAGTCTTCAGATGCTGGCTGTAGACTTAAAGCAATTTTGGCACTGTGAAATATTACTATATGGGGATTAGAGCTTATTATTTAAAAAAAAATATTTGTGATCTTAAATAAATGGGATTAAAAACATAACTTTTATTAAAATTAATCTGGATCACCATATGTAAGCAGGTATTTATTTTATGCCTATATGTAGCCATCAATTCATTTGTCTTTTAATAAGCTAGGGTTATCTAAGTATTTCAATATATTCAATTTTTGAACAAGACATCGTCTTTCCTATTGTAAGATTTGGCTTTAGCTACAATACCCACGAAATAATGGGTTTATAATCACTTTTCTTTAATTCCCATAAATGTTTCGAGAGAGCGGTGCTTTTTATGTATTTTATATTGATTCAACTCATTCGGCAATGGCAGAAGCGTTATTTCCAAGGATTTTCAGTGCAACCAAAATAATGTTTGGCATCGTTATCGGAATGTATGCTAGCCCGGCATACAATAAAGGAAGAACAAAAAAGAAAGAAGGAAGTGCGAGAGAAAGAGAGATGGTGACAAATTGAGATTGGAAGGATGAAGGTTAGAAATAAAAAGCAACGAAGAAGAAAGACTGAGGATGAAAAGAGAGAAGGAGATTATACAGCAGAAAGAAGAAGAAGAAGAAGAAGAAGAAGAAACAAGATATGACGTTTAAAAGAGGAAGTGGGAGTAGAAAGGGAAGAAGAGAAAAAAAGGAAGAAGAAAAAAGGAAGAAGAAAAAGAAGAAGAAAAGAAAGAAGAAGAAGAAAAGGAAGAAGAAGAAGGAACGAGACGTGGCGTTTAAAAGAGGAAGTGGGAGTAGAAAGGGAAGAAGAAGAAAAGGAAAAAGAAGAAGAAAAGGAGGAAGAAAAGTAAGAAGAAGAAGAAGAAGAAAAGGAAGAAGAAAAAGACGAAGAGAAGAAGAAGAAGAAGAAGAAGAAGAAGAAGAAGAAGAAGAAGAAATGAGACGTGACGTTCAAAAGAGGAAGTGGGAGTAAAAGAAGAAGAAGAAGAAGAAGAAACAAGATGTGACGTTTAAAAGAGGATGTGGGAGTAGAAAGGGAAGAAGAAGAAGAAAAGGAAGAAGAAGAAGAAGAAGAAGAAAAGGAAAAAGAAAAGAAGAAAACAAAAAGGAAAACAAACAAAACAAAAAACAAAAAAAGGAAGAAGAAGAAGAAACGAGATGTGACGTTCAAAAGAAGAAGTGGGAGTAAAAGAAGAAGAAGAAGAAGAAGAAGAAGAAGAAGAAGAAGAAGAAGAAGAAACGAGATGTGACGTTCAAAAGAAGAAGTGGGAGTAAAAGAAGAAGAAGAAAGGAAGAAGAAGAAGAAATGAGACGAGGAACACAAAAGAGGAAGCGTGTGGTGGAAGGAATGAAGTCTGTAAAAAGGATGAGGCGAAGGACATAGAAAAAAAAAAGACACCGTTACGCGTTCGTTGGAACCGTATTGCAAATTTATATTTTTTCTGCCTTTCCGATTCCTGCATGTAATTATCTCGTCACCCAGTGGCACCCGGTCCCGTCATCATTGCATAGCTCCAAACCAATGACCCTCCTCCCCCGCACGGCATTTATGATGTCTGTCAACGCTAGCTTCCCCTTTTTTCCTTGCATCTTCTGTCAACTTCGACTCATCATCATTTTAAAAAGAGAAAATCATTTTGCAGACTCCAAGAACATTGGAAAAGTTCATTTGAAGTTCCAAGACAATTTTTTTGGCAATCGAATATGCTTCGAGCTAGTGTCTTCGTTTTTACTCTCTGTCAATACTCATCTTCTTTAATATGCCCTATACCCTGGGGCTATGGACGATCACGACCATCCACAGCTTCCTATTCTTTGTAGCTCTTAATAAGCTTCATTCCATTTACACGGTTGTCCTCATTTTTACTGTCACATTCACGATGTACTCTACGGCCTTCTTAAGAAGACATTTGTTGGAATTTTGTCCTCTATTCAGTTCACGAGGTAGATTGTTCTAATTCCGAGTACCATGCCTTTTTTTTTTCTTTTTTTTTTTTTTTTTTTGGATATCTCAGGTTTTAGTTAACTCGCCTTCATATCTCTCCAAATTTTCTTCTCTCTACTGAAGCCAGGGATTGAACTCACAACGTTTTTGTTCGCATCAA